GTAGTACATTTAATCCTTCCTATAAATAAAAAAACCTGAGGTTTAGAGAGGTTGGATCTCTTGCACAGGCTATAGATTAGTAAGGTTGTTGTGGAAGGGAGATTCCAATCTAAACAGTTTGACTGCATATTCAGCCTCCTGACCACTAAAGTTTTCTGCCTTCTTTAATGAACTAAAAATTCATGAACCTTCTCATCTTCCCTAAAGTGCATCACCACACTGAAAACCTATGACTTTATGTTTATTCAGTAATTTTCTGGTTGGTTAAAGCCCTTGGTCCTAGTGCTTCCTGTCCACTACCTGTGGACAGAATATAGGGGTATCCATGAATTTCTCAGGAAGATGTGCAGCCAATCAGAATGGACAGTAATTATAAACAGCCAGTACAGCTACACCAGTGGCTACACTCTTTAGGCCTGGTTTTATAATTTTTTGATTGTAATTTTTCTTTTGGTTTTAATATACTCTCTGACATTTCTACAAGGGATGATATTTAGCTGGCACAATTAATTACTATGGTCACATGTGTTGTTTATGGCAGGAATTCATTCTAATTTATTGGAACACTTGCTGTAGAAGTTAAATATTTTGAATATTACTGCTACTCAGTCATTAGAAGTGTTTTAATTGTCCCAGGTTATAGAACTTTTTAATTAATCACCTTTAAATGTATATAGAAAATAGAATGTGGACTGGTTAATATTTTTTCTTTGAAATTTGCTGATTCTTGCTGTTAGCCTAACATAGTATCAACTTTTGCATATATTCCAATGTGTGCTTTAGAAGAACGTGTATTTTATAATACCTGGGTTATTAACCCTTTGCACTTGGATGTTGATTGTGACTCAACACGGTTAGCAAAAATTATAGAGATTAAAATTACTCTTTGAATGTATCAATAATTTGAAATATAAAAAATACCAAATAAATAAGTTTATATGAAAAGAAACTCCAGTTTTTTATTCTACTGCCGTGCTTTGTAAAATCTGGGGTATTTAAAAAATTAAATCCCGAGTAAAATAAAGGAATCGAGAAAAAAGCAAGCGAGTGCAAAGGGTTAAGCTTGTTAATGTTTTTTTTTCCAAATGTTTTTCATGCTTATAAATAATTGTCTGTTCTTTTAGTGCTTGAGAGAGACATGTAGTTATATTCAGTTTTTCTTTATATATTTATATATTTATATATATTTCATGAGGGGAATAAAGCTTAGAATTATACCTCTTCCTGGTTAAGTGAACTTTTATCATAAATGCAACTACCTCTTTTGTTTCTAATAATGCTTTTTTGATGTTAAATTCATTTTGTCACATATTAATATAGCAACATCAGCTTTTGGTTATTACTTATTTACTATATTTTATCTACCTTTTAATTTAAACCTTTCTATTGTTTTCACACATTAGACATATCTCTTGTAGCCATATAGATTAAAATTAAAAGGTTACATATCCTTTTAAAATGAAGGTTATTCATCTAATATAATAGCATTATTTTTAAAATTATGAGTTTAGTTCATTTACTTTGTGGTTATTGTGAGTGTGGACTCTAAGGGCAGTTTGCTTCTGTATGTACTTAGTGATCTGTGATTGTAAATTCAATTTTTCTATGGGAATCCTGCATAATTAAATTGAAGATGACATCCTCCAGAGAGCATTTGATCTGCTTTTGCTGGGAATAAGGAAGTGGGACTGACATGAAACCACAGGGCTGCTGCTAGTCCATATGCTGCATGTGTGAATATTGGAAATGTGCCACATTTTAAGACACTTGATCTCCAGCTTTTGAGAAATTACTATTGATATTATTAGAACAAGATACTTTTCTGCTATTTCCCTGAAAATTGTTATGATAAATATTCAAGTCTGTGCCTTCTAGGTTGTGAATAGAATATTCCTAAATGTGGTGCAATTGCATAAAGTACATGTTGTACAACCATCATCCACAGAGATCCTGCAAACCCTCTTTTCTCCATTAGAAGGTTCAGGTCTAAAGGAGGAGTCCCAGGTTCAAATCTTCAAATTGGTATAAGGCCTAAGATCCATTTGCACAGCTGATACTGGTATTTCCCACCAGGCTAATCTTAATGACTGCTGCTTTCTTGCAGATCTTTCAGCTTTGTTTCATCTCATAGGTTCTTGCCTTATTGGAGGCGTGTGTGTGTTTGTGTGTCAGGATCGGCTTGGTTAGGATGGTTAGGTTGCCATAATAAACAGCCTCTAAAGCTCTATGGTTTAGCACAATAAAGGCTTACTTATTGATCCTGCTGTGTGTATAATGTGTTGTGAGTGGCAGGGAAGCTTTGACCAAGTCACTTAGGAGCTTAGGATAGTGGAGGCTCCATCTTGAAATGTACTTTTCCACGTGGTAAGGGGAAGAGAGAGTGGCAGGATCTCTCACTGGCAAATGAATGTTTCTATCCAGAAATGATAAATATCACTTCCACTAGAATTTTACTTGTTAAAGCAAAGAAAATTTGGCTCAGCTTCAAGGACAATGCTAATCTTTCTGTGTTCCTGGAAGGAGAACCAAAATGTTTAGTGAATAGCACTAATCACTACCACCCAACATTAAATAGGAATTTCTTAAAGCATTCACTTTTTGTAATGCCAAATGCATATCAATAAGTAAGTTTTATGTGCTGTGCAATAGTATTGCAGCAAAAGGGACCCTATTTTTTTTTATATAGGATTAAGGTCTTGCTATGTTGCCCAGGCTGGTCTCAAACTCCTGGCTCAAGTGACCCTCCTGCCTTGGCTTCCCAAAGTGCTGGGATTATGGGTGTGAGCCACCACACCTGGCCTCTGTCCTCTTTACTGCTACTTCCATTATGTGTACACTATAGTGTCTCACATTTCTCTGAGGTTCAGATTTTTATATAATGATTATATGATTATGGCATTTTAGAGTACACTAAAGAGATTTTCATAGTCTACATTTTAGAAACAAGAAAGCAACTGCAGAAGAAATGCCTAGTACCTTCTATTAGTTAGCTGTGTATGGAAATAGTAGTCAGACACAATCTATTACTTATGTTTTATCCAATTTGCTACATTTCTCAAGCAGAGGATTTCATATACCATTGAAAATATATCTGAATATGTCTTTTATAAAGATGCCTCCAAGAGAAACTAAAAACAGGGCTTTTAATTTAGCAAAAGTAAAAGCCAAGTAACAGATTCAAACCTCTGAAGATATATTGCTGATAGACTAGTGATTCTGAGTTTGGGGAAAATAGATAAAACTAAAACTAATACTGGAACCAGCTAAGTGTCCTGTAAAGAACCACCGCTGGGGTGATGCTGGTGGTAGGAACAGGAAGCAAATAGGAAGTGGCAAGTCCCTTATCTTCATCCAACCTACCATTCTTCCTCTAGCAATTCTTTTGGTAGAATTTAACAAAAGCTAGATAACAAAGGAGAAATGTGATTTTCAGTGTCCCAATCCTGACTGACAAAGCGTAACATAGAAAGATAGTTTTGAAACTGAGAGATGATAGTTTAATAGCATCCACTGTTTGCTAAACAATAGGGATGAAAGTCTTATGCCAACTTAAAGATTACACCCAACACTACAAATCATAGAATAGCTAATGTTTATTGGGCATTTAGGATGTTCCAGGCATTATTAAATACAATGCCTGAGTTATTTAATGTTATGAAATTACAATAACTACCTGCTAACAAGACAGGAAAGTGTTATGGGTTTACTCTTACAACTTAGAAGTAGCTATAGTCTTTTACTTTAGATTTGTGTTTTGTATTTAACTACCATAGACTCCTCTGAGAGCTGGGTAAAGAGAGTGCTTTCCTCTGTTGACCATATCTGGCTCAATTCCCTCAGTGGAAGTGTGGCTTCTGTTCTTCACTTGGGTGCTGCTCCATAGAGCTGCACTCTTTAGTAAATAGAGATAATTTCAATCTGGGGCCATCTCTACTGTCTTATCCCCCAGTGCGCAAACCTTGTAGCTCCCCAGTCCATTGAGCAAATTGACTCAGTCTCTTCTGCCTCTTCTTATCTTCACATTGGAATTTTTTTTCCCAGTTATTAGTTCTATCTAGTTTTTCTACTACTTAGGAGCTACATGTTCCAATGCAGAGTAGAAAAGAAGTCCTCACTGCAGCCTGATCTCTTCTCAAATTCCAAAGGAACATTCTGCTACCAGGTCACCTGTGTTTTATTAAGTTAAAACTTAGGATGCATTACCAGGGAACAATTTCATCTATCTTAGTCTTGTTATACATCAAATCCCCAGAAAAATTATGTAGCTGGTGAACAAAACCTGTTTCTTTATGTTATAATAATCACACAGAAAATAAAAGGTAATACCTTAGCTACTAAAAAATATTCATATGAAAAAATGCCAGTAGAGCTTATTTAAAAGTATTTAATAATTTCCTTTTGAACAACTTTGCTGTCTCAGACATGATAGCTATATGTTTCTGATTTTGTACATGAGGCGGCTCATTTATTCAAAAATATTTATTGAGCACCTATTATGTGCTAGCTTCTGTTATAAGTTTTCTGAATGCTATAGGGTAATAAAAATTTACTATCTTCAGGGACCTTATATGTATGGTGGACATAAACAGTAAATAAATGAACAAATTAAAAATTAATATATAATATATCATGTGCTGATTAATATTTACTTTGCATATTAATTAATAACATACGATAGGTTACAAAGTGCTTTGTATAATATCTTTTGCCTTTATTATTTTCTAAAGGTTTAACAGTGATTTTTTTTGTTTGTTTTTTGTTGGGCTTCCTTAGAAATTTTCAACATTTTGCATTTTCATAATACTATGTTTTAAAACCAGAAGCATGTTTAATTTCTATAGTTAGAACAAGAAACTAATAGTAACAATTGCAACCAAAGTATTTCTGTCGTATGGTTTTGAATACCACATAGTGAATTTGCTTTCACCTGGTAATTTACTCTTGTGAATTTTGTGTCTGCAACAGCTTTGAAGTTTGAGTCACATAATATAAATTGGTATTCATATTCCATCGGAAAAGCTTTTCCTACACAGCATGGTCTTAACAGCAGCCTTTACATCCTTGTTTCGCAGACTATAGATGAGAGGATTAAGCATGGGGGTCATCACGCCATAAAAGAGGGAGATGAGAGCCTCGATGATGTCTTGGTTTTCTGGACCAACCGAGGTTTTAGACTTGGGCTTCGCATACATGAAGAAGATGGTTCCATAGAATATAATCACCACTGTCAGGTGGGCTGAGCAGGTGGAGAAGGCCTTACGTTTTCCTTCAGCAGAAGGGATCCTCAAAATGGTGGCAATAATAAAAATGTAAGAGATGGAAATAACTAGCAATGGAATAACCAGAAAAACCAGATTTGACCCTGCCATGCTAATCATGTTGATTGAAATATCAGCACAAGCCAGTTTCAGGATAGCCAGAATTTCACAGACAAAATGGCTAATGACATTGTTAGCACAGAATGGTAACTGCATTGCTAGAGATGCCTGGACCACTGAGTCAACAAGCCCAGTGACCCAGGATCCAGCTGCCATGGGCACATAGGCAGCCTTGCTCATGATGACAGGGTATCTCAGTGGGTAGCAGATGGCAACATAGCGGTCCAGTGCCATCATGCCCAGGAGCACACATTCTGTTGCCCCCATGGCAAAGGAGAGGAACATTTGCACCATACATCCAGAGAAGGAAACCCTTTTCCTTAGTGTCAGAAAGCTGTCAAGAATTAGTGGGACAGAGGAACTCGTGTAGCAAATGTCCAAGAAGGAAAGATTACAGAGGAAGAAATACATGGGGGTGTGCAGGTGAGAGTCATAGATGATAACTGAGATAAGGACTCCATTTCCAAGCAGAATCATCAGGTACATCCACAAAACAAGCACAAAGAAAGCCGTCTGGAGCTTTGGGTGGTCAGAAAGCCCCACCAGTACAAATTCTGTCAACATGGAATCATTGGTCTTTTCCATATCACATATACCTTTTCTTGAACAGAAATCTATGCATGATAGAACAGGAATCTGTTAATACACTGTCTGCAAGAGCTACTTCTTTCAAAAATCAGATTCTGTGTTACTGCAGTTGTGTATATAGATACAACAATATAACTCTGGGAAAAATTTCTTACTGTAAATGCAGGCCACTAGAGCAGAAATCCTAACCTGACTTTCTCAAGGCTAAGGAAGAATACATTTGATTATAGGACCCTTGGATCCCAAAGCATTTTATTGCCAAATTCTGCCTGTTGACCCACTGGTTGCAACTCAGGCCGCCTACAGCCTGGATTTAGCAGACAGATGTGCTTTGTTTGGCAGTGATTGTCTGCACCGTGTTTAAATTTGAATTAGAGACCAGCATTCTAATCAAGAGATATGGTATAGCAATCTGTGCTTTTAGCTTGTCTTCAAATAAATTAGAATATTTGAAAACAATGGACCTGTTTCCATTGTGGAGCTCAGTTATAAGTGATTCATTGGATTTGAAGCATGTCTCTTTGTTCTACCAGACTATTTTTCTCACTCTCATTTCTTGTCACTGGAGGGGAATATAAGTTTCCAAGTAACAAGTTATTCTCAGTTGGTCTCAATCATTTACATTATCCGATAGGATTTTGTATGTACAGGCAATCCCTGGGTTACAAATGACCCGACTCATGGAGTTCCGTAATCACGAATGGGCTCCCAAGCTCCTGATAAGGATAATTTGTAATTAAATAATTAAATCAATATTTTGGTAACTAGTTTCTTCCAATCATGTAAGCAGTTCATTGGCTCAGCATCTTTATGCTAGCAGCTAGTCTCATTGTTTATTCTGTCATTAACACAGAGTATCACCTACATCTTAACTTTTTAATTTGATTGTGTATTTACCTTTATGACCACGCCTCCAAAGCAAAAGTCCACCGCAAGTCTAGGTGAGCCTGCTGTGCACAGAATGGTGATTACAATGGAAATAAAAGTAGAGATAATTAAGTGTTTGGAGAAAGGCCAGATGCCATCATTCATTGGGAAAATATTAGGCTGTAATCGCTCAACTATAGGAACAATTATAAAGTATAAGCAAGAGTAATGGAACATGTGAAAGGCAGTTCTCCAATGAAAGCATCAATTATTACTAAGCAGTATAGTGAATTAATTATTGCAATGGAAAAGTTATTGATTTGGTAAGAAGATCAATAAATTAAGTGTAACATTCCTATTAGCCTATCATTTATTCAACATTAGTGTGTGTCAACACTTAGTATTCTCGTTCTGAAATTTATTCTATCTCCTATCTAAAATTTTGTATGAGTTTCTTTTTATGTTCCGTTTGTTTAAATTAAAATAAAGAATATAATAGTTGCTGTAACTTATCAGTACAGTGCAGGGGTATTATTACAGTATTGTACTGTATTATTATTACTACATGTGAGCCATTATACTACTGCCATTGTTATTATATATGTGTTGTTTATCAGGAGTCCAAGTTACATACAAATCTGACCTGAAGACATTCTTGGGAACATATCTCGTCCTTAACCTGGGCACCACCTGTATTTGAAACCTTGATCCATGGTTGTTGGGCCGACTTACCCATTAGGCACAGTAGGCCTGCTGTGTTGTGAGGAGCCTAGGAAAATGTTTTGATTTCTTTTAAAATCTGAAGAAAATTGAACTTCAAAGTTTTAATACATATTTGTCTTTATATGAATGCCACAGTAAAATATAACTTTTAATTTTTTTATGGAAAAAAGGGCCTATGAAGGCAAAGTGTGCCTAGAGCCCATCATAGCCATTATGTAGCCCTGGGTGGTTGAGTATCTTTTTACACCTCAGTCTGGTCTGCTGGTGCTGTAGTAGTGGTTATGTATCTACATATCACCTCTTTGAGGAGAGCAACCTCATTGAGAATAGGAACATATCTTTATATTGCTCCAGTATCTTCCTCAATATGATGAGGAAGTATGTGTTCAAATCAATATTTTTGTAAAAATGAAAGTGAATTGAGCCAGTTTTATCAGTGGCTTTTATAAAAAGATGAAACATGTGTTGTAGGCTTCATGTATTTTCTTTACTAATATTTTCACCTCAGGCAAGAACTATCACTTAGGATCAACTGCACTAACAGTGCTTTTCTCCAAAATATATACATTGGACTAGACCAGTGATATACAAACATTATTTTTTAGCAAATAAAATTGGTATAGAATTGTAATATATAAAACAAAAAGGAGAGTTTTCTATCTAAAGTTACACTAGTAGCAGGGCAGAAGAAAGCACCGTCTTTTTATTCTTATTTATTCTTTACTCTTCGTCCCTCAATTAAGCTTAAGTGGATTCCAAGGATTATAGTTTGAAAACCACTAATATAATACATCAGAAATAATAGTAATAGTCTGCATTTTTAATCATTTAATCAATAATAATAAAATAGTAATTTATGTATTGATTATGCTATGCCAGATACATTTCTAAATGCTTTTATTTGTAACAACCCAAAGAAAGTAGAGGCTACTATTTATGAGCTATGGATTATCCTTCCCCAAACATTTGGTGAACATCAGCAGTAAATAATGATATGAATAGACTGAAGTAAAAAAGTAATTATTTCAAGAGATGCAGAAAACATATATGATAAACTTCAGTTCATAATTTTTATATAAACCATGGGCAGTTTGCAAGCAGAAGGTTGATTTATAAACTTGAAAGAGAACTATATACCAAAAATTTGTATCAAATTGCTGTTTGCTAATAATTAATGGAGATAGTTTATACATTCTTATTAAAATCTGGAATAAGGTAAAGATGCCTACTCTCGAAGTTACTGTTTAACACTGACTTGCTAGTCCTGGTTAAAATTATAGACAAGAAAATGGCCAAGGTAGAGATAAAAAGAGACTAAAAGATTCAGAAGACCTTATGAAAAAAATTAGTAGACTTCTGGGTGTAAGAAACATGGAATAATCAACAGTTCTCTCCTTATTAGCAATAAATAGTTAGAAAACATAATAGAAATAAATATAATAAAAGTGACAAGAATATAAAGTATCTCATTTTAGCTTGATAAGGCATGCATAAGACCTTTACAAAAATCCTCTAAAAATTATAATAAGGGGCAAAATAGAATATGAATAATTGAAAATTGATAATAGGTTAATAGATAGAATAAAAAAAAAACCAGGGCTGTCATTTGCCCCTCAAGTTAGTCTATACCTTCAATTGAATCCATTAAAAATTTAGCTGGATATTTTGAGGAATATGAGTACTCACTCTAACATTTCTATGAAAGAATATAAGTATAAAGCTTACACATTTTTATAAAATAAAAATAAGCGGGAGCATCCGTATTTAAAATATACTATAAAACCATAGTAATAAAAATAGCATGAAAATGATATTTAATAGTCCAGTGATATTTAAATAGTCCAGTAGAAAAGAAAAAAGACCTTGGATATAGACATGTGTCTTGATATGTCAACTTGATACATCATAAAGCAGTCAATGCAAAGCAATGGTGAAGTGATAATTTAGTAGATTACATTACATCTATTAAACATAGAAAAAAGACAAAATTAGACCCTTGGATTGCCATACATAAAAGTGGAAACCAGATGGATTAAAGATTTAAAGGTAAATAAATAAAATTATTAAATCAATAAAAGACAATATAGAATATCTTTGTACATGAATGGTGGAGGAAAATACTTTAAAAACAAAATCAAAATGATGTATAGGTTTTGAAGTATGAAGCAAAACTTGGTGGTTTTAATTACATCAAAATAAAGGGTTTCTTTTTAGAGGAGGGCATCAGGGATAAGGTTAACAGACTATAGGAGATATTTAGAGTATCTAAAACTGACACGGGGCTAATATCTAAAACATGTAAAAATAAAAACCTCTTGCTAATCAAAAATAAAGCTTTAAGCCAGCAGAAAGTTAAAGGATATGAATCAATGATTTACAGAAGCAGTTTCCTAAATGACTGACAAGGATATGAAGAGATGCTCAAACTTAGAAAATCTGAAAAATGCTTATTAAATATTTGAAATCAAAATTTTAATCTTATTGTAAAAAACCTGAAAAATACTCATTAGTGTTCAAAGTGCTCATTTAAACAGCAAAGAGATACCATTCATCTTCATTAAAAACTGAATGACAATAAATGTTGGCAAGCATGGCAGGCAGGTAGAATTCTGGTGGGACTATACACTGGTATAAGGGAAAGCTCTTTGGCTTTATGAATATTGCGCAGGGCCTAGTGATTCCCATCCTGGAAATATGTCCTAGATAAGTTATTTCTCGGGACCGTAAGGGGACAAGCATGAGGAGGCTCATCATTGCATTATTTGTGGCAAAAAGCCATTGGAGGCAACGTGGGGGTCCACCATTAGAGTGAGAGTTATGTCACACATGAGCACGCGTGCACAGTGGAACAGTTTGCAGTCGTCAGGAGCAAAGGAACTAGATTTCCACAGAGCAACATCAATAGATTCCTGGAACAGTACTGAAAAGTTAAGCAATATTATAATTTATAGAACAATAAAATTTATACAAATTAAAAATACATTTTTCTTGGACACATACATTTTTAAAGACATAATTGTGGGTTGGGAAAGAGAATAGTAGTGGAATTAATGATTGTGGGAGTAAATAGGAGGCTTCAAAAAGACTCTGGAAAATAGTGTGCAAAAAAGTAGAAAATAAAATAGGAGAATGGTTAACTAAAGCCTGAGTTTAAAGAGAAACAGACAAAACACTCGCAAAAATTGAAGAGAACATTATTGGGCATAGGCCAATGAAGGAGCTTTGATAAGAAATGTGGTTTTAATAGACGGGACTAATGTAAGTTTAAAAATACAGAAAAATTGACTTCTGACACTGTCAAACAGCACATTATGAATGGGGGAAAAAGATTGAGACACTTAACATAAGAAAAAAATATGTTAAAGCTTAGTTAGGCCAAACATTTTAAATATAAAGATTTTAATCTA